GAGAGAGAGAGAGAGAGAGAGAGAGAGAGAGAGAGAGGCATAGTGAGCCAAGTTAGAGAGAGAAGCAAGACAAGAGAGAGAGAAGACAGTGAGACGGAAGAGAGAGAAGCCATAGCCGCCGCCTGGTTGGGATCCGTTGTGTGCGTGTGTGCAGCAGAGGCGCTAGAGACAAACATTCTTGTATATTGATAATACTATTCGAGACGACATCTTCAAGTGTTGACTCTATCTCGACTTGGCTTCTCACGTGTGAACTCTCCTGTGAATGTTCATTGATGTATGCAAGGTTGAGCTTGGCGAGTACTTGGTTCATTTCAGTGGTATCACAGCTGGTTCCCGCTGCATCCGCTCAGAGTTGAAACGCCGGCAAGAAAGAAGGCCGGCGGGTGAATATATATTGTCACACTGTGAATCAGAGCGCGAAGGCGGGGGAAAAAAAAAAGCAAAACAAGGAAGGAGAGCCCCACCTGTTCATCACCTCTTGCGTACAAGCCCAGCCACGTGGATGACAGGTTGAGTGTTGGCTGCCCCCATCCCCGTGTGTCACAAGTACCCACTTGCACGCAGCCAAAATGAAACGGTATTCACCAGTTAGCGGTAGCTGCTGCAGATCCCCGTGTGTATAGTATCAGTGTTGACCCCTAGAGTTGAACCCGTGACCTGTGTATTTGTAACTGTTGGTAGGCGTCGTAGGGTCCAGAGGTCGCAGGGGTTCGATCTGTAGACCTGTCGTGTAGGAATCCTAGTCAGGTCTAGAAGTCGTACCTGAAGCTTTCTCAAAAGGTCAAGGTCGTAGCTGCGTCGTTGAAGACATCGCTACAGCGAGAGAGAGAGAGAGAGAGAGAGAGAGAGAGAGAGAGAGAGCTGAGCGATACAAGTTTGGTTGTCACTTACCTGAGAAGTGTGTCGTGCAGTCCCACGAAGTGAGAGGCGGCCATAGTCGCGGAGCCCGAGCCACAGAGAACGAAGGAGGCTGAGAGAGAAGGTGGAAGAGGAGACTGAGAAGGGAGAGAGAAGCCATAGCCAAGAAGGAGAGGAGAGAGACGATCAAAAAAAAAAAAAAAAGAGAAAAGAAGACAGCCGGGGTGAAGAGAAAGGAGGCGAGGAAGGAGAAAGGAAGGAGAAGGGTGCTGAGGAAGGTGAAGCCGGCAGCCATAGACGACCGGAGGAGTTGACCCGGAAAGTTGACCAGGCGTTGACAGGGCGTTGACCAGAGTTGACCGGGAGTTGACCAGGGGCTGACAGCAGCGTTGACAGGGCGTTGACCAAGACCGTTGACCACGAAGTTGACCAAGTTGGAGCCGGTATAATCTCGCCAAGTCCCCTCGCCCTATGGATGTGCACACACCCTCTGGTACTTGCTGAAGTCCAGTTTGTCTGTCTCTTCTTTCTGCATCGAGTCTCTTCTGTCTAGGTGTAGGAACTCTGTGGACGAAGGATAGGGCCTTGTTGACCAAACCCTTGCCGGACTAAGTGGGCTAAAGACTGTGTCTGATGACTGTCCCGGAGGACACGAACCCTCCTAAGGACCGGTACAGACCGGCGGGCTGCTCGGTGTGGCACGGTAGGCCTGAAAGGCTGACTTGTGGGCTGTACAACAGGCAGTCTAAGTATTGAGAGACCTGCTGATCGCGTCGTCCTGTTTGCGACGTTAAAAAATTCCTGAGGAGTTACGGGGGATCTCCTTAAATGCCTCCTGATCAGCAACGGGTCAAGTAGTGACAGCCTTAGAGTAGGTCCAGGCTAGAGACCATAGTTGACAGGATCCTGTCCGAATTCTGTAAGTCTTAGATTGAGTCAGTCAGTGTGTCAGTCAGGGGGAGTAAAGTCTAAGTGGTGAGGAGTGGAACCGTTGTCTGGTTGTGCACCAATCACCATGGTTGACACCCGTAGTGGGAAGAGTACTGCCCCCTCCGAGGCCGAGCAGGCTTGGATTGCCGCCCTTTTGAGAGAGAGAAAAGACAAGAACGAGCTCTTGAAACAGGCGAAGCTAAAGGCTATCGCAGAGGAGCAGGCGGCAAAGAAGAAGAGATTGGAGGTGGAGATGTTGAGGTTCCAGAAGGAGAAGATAATGCTGTTAGAACGAGAGGAAGAAGAGAGGAGAGGCTGCAGAAAAGGAAGC